GGTTTTCTTCACTGTCATAACCCTGGCACTCAAATAATAGCTAGCACATAGTAGGCAATATTGTTGCATGAAAGAAAAATGTTCTAACAGTTTTTAGATTATGTTATGGTGGGGTTCAAAGCCAGCATGAATACACACAACTCTCCTTTTTCTTTACTATTTTTATATAACATGGATTTGATAGATAAAACTTATGATAGTCTTTGAAGTCACAATTTGAAGTATAATATTGGGAACAAGTGGTTGTCTTAGTTCTTTCAATGTTCTCAACAAAAGTGGAAGTTAGAACAATGGTGAGGCTGAGGTTTGAGCACACAGCAGGTATAAAGAGTGCTTTCAGATACATGCTCTGATTTTTACTATTTCCAAAGGTGCATGCTTATGTCAGGAGAAACCCGTCGGGCGAGAAGCGTCCAGGAGCCAGGCGTGGCGGCACTCGGCGCATGCGCCTCGCTCCCGCCGCCGCACGAGCCGCGGAGGGGCTGCTGGGAAATGTAGTTCTGCGCCGCTGCGGTTCGCCTGCATGTCACCCCGGCCGGCTGAGCCCCGCCAGACGCGCACGTGCCTTTCCGCCTCTCACTTCCTGTCTTTGTTGGAAGGGAAGGGACGGAGGAAAAGAGTGGAAAGTGGAACAAGAGGGACAGGTCAGTTGGATAGGATCGCCTAATGTATAACAGCAAGAGGAAGCTCGGCCTGGCGGCTTATAACCGTAATAAATGTCTGGAGATCACGTGTGTGTTACACGGTTCTTTCACGCACATCGTGCCCTGGATCCTGCAAGGAACCCTGTAAGGGGGACGTTTTTCTTTCTATCTTTAAAGATGAGGAAACGAAGGTTAGCTTGTCTGAGAAAGAATAGAAGGAGGGTAGTGATCAAGTGAACATTATCTCATCCGGGAGTAGACTACAGAATTCGCGTTCTTTGCATTATTCCTGGGGCAGACACTTGCATTCAGAGCTCCTAAGCTCTGCCCCTCACCCACAGATCTTGCATTGCTCTGAGCTCTCCTCTCTCCACCTCAGAATGCGGCTGCGATGCTCTGCTCTGCCTCACAGGGCCTTGTGAGAGCAAAAAGGAATCATGCAGTGAAAACCCAAAGGCACTGTTCAACCACAGCCGAAGCCTCGGGCCCTAAATGTGGCAGAGAACTGGGTGTCGGCCCTGTGGCAGGGTGGACCTGAAGACAGCATCTTCCTCTCCTGCAACTGCCTGAACAGCTGTTCTGTGTGGTGGCCTGGACTGCTCAGTGGTGAAGCAGATAGAGGCTGCTTATTATGTCTTGGAGAATGGTGCTCTATGTCCCTGCAGCTGCAGCTCTGCCACTCCCTCCACTCAGGCCACTCGGGACTCTTCCATTCTCAGTGGCAAGCGCAGTAGCACCAACCACATCAGAGCACCCTGGGCCCCCTGGAGTATTAGCGGTGGGAGGTCCCCATCACCTCTCCTGACCACCCATCCCCACCCTCAGGCCCTCTGCTCTAACATCTATTAAGTGGAACAATATATATAGATAGCATCCAAGACATGTGGGCACTCAACAGATATTTATTAAATTTATGAATGGGACACTTATTACCCACCATTTCATTTAACAATTGCTTGCCAAAAGAAATAAACAACTAATTAAATTCCTTATTGTAGTAATACAAGGGTGGTTGATAGAACACATCACACAACCATAGAGTTTTAGAGCCAGAAGGAACCAGAGAAATCCATTCCAGCCCTGTCATTTCTCTCTCCTCTTTGTTGATATGACCAAACTGGGAAATTATGGGCTCCAACATTTGAATGAGATACTGGCTAATATAATATTCAATATGATTTTAAGAAATACAGTGCACTGGACACAGGGATACAGAAATGAATAACATACCCCAAGGTCCTTGCTCTTGTGGCTCTTCCACACTAGTGTGAAGAGAGATCATAAATGTAGTTTTCTGTCCTGGCTGTCCCAAGTCCGATCCTCCCATTTCCTCATGAGTACACACAATCAGGCTTTAATGCCCTGCACTCCACTGAAAGAGTGACCTCCATGTTGTCTCATCAGACGAGCATCTCCCCATCCTGCTCTTTCTTGATCTATCAGCTACTCCAGCCTCGGTTGATCCTCCCTCCTCCTCGACATGCTTTCCTGTTGTTGACCAGTACCTGGAGGGGAGACGGTGGGAAATGAAAAAAGACACGATTTATTTTATGGGATCAGGAGTACCTTGCAGACTGCTGACCTATAAGGCATCTCAGTTTATTTTAGGTTCCTTTTTATAAGCCAACGAAAATAACAAATTATACTGATTAAATTAATTATATCTGATACCAAGCTATTTACAGAACAAAACATTTTCAGCTGCCACAGCACTTGAAGATTCATAGCTAACTACTTATCAACAAAATAGGAACATAAGTTTCTCATATACAAAGCTTCCAGGGTCCTGGGTTCAATCAAAGGTCAGACCTCAAAGGGAGGGAGAAGGGGGGAAGTAGGCAAAAGGGATGCCAGCCTTGCTGGCTTCCCTAGAATAGCAAGGACTTTGTCACCTTGCTCATTCAGTACCCTACACTTTCCTCCCTGGCTTCCAGGTTGCCACACATTCCCACTTTGCTCCCGCTTCACTTGCTGCTCCTTCTCAGTCTCCTTTGCTGATTTCTCCTCATCTCAACTCTAACTCTTCCCCCAAAGTTTGGTGTTTCATCTCCTTTCTACTCACTCCCAAGGGGCTAGTGAAGTGGTCTGCTCTTATCTCATGGCTTTAATTACCATCTATATCCTAAAGATTCCTGTTATGGGTTGAATCGTGACCTCCCCCCACACCTAAGACAGATTGAAGTCCTATCCCCAGTACCTGGGAATTGACCTTGTTTGGAAATAGGGTCTTTGCAGATGTAATTAGTTAAGACGAGGTCATATTGGAGTAAGATGATCCCTTACTCCAGTACGACGCGTGTCCTTATAAAAAGACAGATGATGTAAAGAGAAACACACAGGGAGACTGCTACATGATGACATCAAGAGAGGCCTCATGATGGCGGTTACTTTTGAGTTGAGTCCTGAATAACAAGAAGGGGCCAGCACATGATGATCTGCATGCAAGGCAGAGACCAGGGGTTTAGAACAAAGGCCCCAGGCTGGAGCACAAACAGAAGGCAGAGTGGCTGGAAGGGCACATAGGAGACACAGTCAGAGAGGCAGGCAGAGGCCAGATCATGGAGGCTGTGTCATGCTGATTTTGGGATTGCTTGCTCTCAGATCCTGTCCTTGACCTCCCTTGCTCAGCTCTGGGTACAGGGACTGGCCCTGCAGACTGGGTTTCCACTGGGCTCTGTCAAGAGGAGGCACTGCTGGGAGATGGAGCAGGTCTGGGCAAGGGAAAAGCCAGGTCTTTTCTTTCCCTTGTTCTCTGTCTCTGGCAGCTTCCATTCCATGGCTCCAGTCCCTAATACACAGGCTTTTTATGGTTCTAGCTTCAGCCAGGTGACCCAGACTCCAATAACACCACCTCCTCCCTTCCACTGGCAGGGTAGTGGCTTCTTGCTCTGGTTAATCTCTGGGTTGCCTCAGGGTTGTTGTCTCAGCCTCTTCCATCATCTTTGCTACCAACTCCCTGCATTGCAGCCATTCTGTTTTATTCAGAAAAGTTTCTATTTTTCTTGCAGATGAATGATAGATTTCAAGTGTTTTGGAAAAATAATCTGGGTTCTAGTAGAAAAGGGTGATGGACGGGTGGGAGGCTGTAAAAAATCCAAGGGCATAAGAACATGTTATTCAATTATAGACTCATCCTCAGCATCTCAGGGAGGGGGGAGTACATGTGATCAGTAGAAATTACAGGGAGGGTCTTTTGGTCTAAAAAAGTTCCTAACAAACCGAACTGTAGAAAGAGAAAGGGTTCAAGCAGAGGCAGCACACTGTGTCAGGGATGTTATCAACGAACATCATGCATCAGGAAGGGGATGATATTCTATTCTGTGCAGCGAATGAAGAAGCAGAGATGGTAATGAACTACTTGGAGACAATGGCAGTTGCAACTGAGGGACTAAAAGCAACTGTTCACTAAGCTAGTGAAGGCCCAGAGTCAAAGTCCAATGGATAGGGCCGGCCCGGTGGCGCACTGCTACAGTGCGCTGCTTGGGAGTGCGGTGGTGCTCCCGCCAAGGGTTTGGATCCCACGTACAGACCGGCTGCTCACTGGCTGAGCGAGGTGCGGGCGCAACACCGAGGGTTGCGATCCCGTTGCCGGTCCCGGCCAGTACAGGCGCGACACTGAGGGTTGCGATCC